CAGGAGTAAGGCAGCCATGATGAATCGGCACTTAGCTCAGGGAAGCGCACTTGCTCAATGGGCTGTGAATCTCCCGCTGCCACTGTCAGCCTGCAGAATGTTAAATAAAGTTATTTGAATATTTGTAATATTAATGTACCAGCGTGTCAAAAGCCCACTGGTGCCTAACAGAGAGAGGAAATATGAGATTTGTGCTGCAGTGTGGGTCTATAGGACTGTGGTGGGGAGGAATTATAACTGAATAAAAGCATAATCATGGATAGTGTAGTGAGTTAGAGACAGATGGATGGACAGAGAATAAAAAGCCATATTATATCATGGATCATGATTGAGGCTGTTACGCTTTTCATTGCCCCTTTTTCATTCAAATACATTTCACACGTTAGAAACAATTCTTCTTCTATTACAATGTTTCTACTCTGCTCTCTCCCGGAACCCACAGACTCAGAGGAGCTATGTGCTTTGGATGGGAATGAGATCAATGTATGTGAAACACTGTGCACATATATTTTTGGTGCATGATGAAATCGTAGCGGGTCAGCAGACATCATTTGAGTTAACAGTCAATCAGTGTGGCCCAGGATGCACAGTTAACGTGGCCGTATGCGTCTGCTGGCCACCTCCGAATGAGTGATCGAACCTTAAAAGCGTTCTCGATAACTTCATTCATTTACCTGGATATTAACATGATCCGATCACAAGTGGTCAGTGCTAAGGACAAAAAAAGTCAAATGTGTCCTGACATATGATTCCCTACATTTATTTCGCTTGTGTTTTTACGCCTTGGGTTGATTTATTTTCAGCCACAATATCAACACCGACTGGGTAAATAGGAACATTTTACTACATAGTAGAGGTGTTCAAAGATCACTGATTGTCTCTGCCCATCCTGACCCCGCTCACTCTCTCATGGACTAACACACACAAACAATGTCATCTGATACATCTGTAAACACTGGGTAAAAACCACATTCTTTGAACACACAAAAAATAAACGTGTGTTTGCACATAGAGCCGTGAAGTGGGGTCCGATCACAAGAAATACATTCAGAATTTTTACTCAAAGCTGTCCAGCTCTGACAGGTCTAAAGAATCTCAAGATCTCAGGTGAAACACTAAGTTGTTAATGCCAGGTATGAACAGAGGAGATTTGGGTTTGGTTAAATAATTATGAAAACAAGACAAAATACATTAGAGGGCCTCATCAGAGAGCTTCAGCTTCATAGACGCCAGGTAGGAGAGAATTTATCAGCTCAAAGAAAATCTTATTCCTCATAGGAAAACGTGTTCACAGTCAATTGAAGACAAAAGAATCGTGAGTATTGAATTGCTCTTCATGGAGTGTCATTTAGTGACTGTTTACTCTGAAGCAATTTAAGCCACATCATCCACTTTAGGAGTTTGAATAATTAGTGTACCGGGGAGTTTTAATCTTTATATATGGAAATACAAGGAACATTAAAATGCTCAATGATTAAAAACAGAAACAGAGATGGATGTGAAGTAAATCTAATCAGGGTTTCGCTAAAACTACCACGCTCTTTCTTTAGACACTTAAGCTGAGCAGGACACACACACAAGATAAGCTTTGCGTTGGTGGAGGTAGTGGGGTGCTATTTGTGTCTCCGCTCGATTTAACAGGGAGGTGATAAAATATTTAGCAGATTGCTTACATAGCCAAGGGGGGAGAAAGAGAAGGAGCGAAAGAGGGAGAGAGACGGGAAGAGAGAAAGAGAGAGAGAGTGAGAAGGGGATACCCAAATGGCTTGTGTGGGAGCTGGGGAGCTGGTAATGAGGATGGCATGCTGGCATCATCGTTACAGTGCATAGCTCTACATGGTCTCTCTGCCCAACTAACAGCAGGCCGCGTGCACGCACACTTACACGCACACACACACACAGCTACATGTCACTAATTAAAACATATAGATTAGAGAGGTTGCAATCAGGTACGGTAGATTCGCTCACACATACACATGCACGCAAACACACACTGACAACACGCAGACAAGCAGGTTTAAACACACACACACACAAGCACACTCAGGTGCAATTAAGCTTATTTTCCCTGTCATATTAAATGACTTGCAAATTAAACAAGTAAAAAGTGATTAATGTGTCACCTCAAAACATTTATCATCCCTCACAACATTTGCTTTTCACTGTGCATAGATAAACATATTCACAACCACGCATTTGACGAACACAGTTCTCTGACTGGCACCCAGGAATTGCATGTTACATTCCATAGTTATTTCCCACCATAAAGTGTGAATTTATGCATTTCTCTTTCTCATTGGTTACAAAGCTAGTTATGGCTTTAACTGTATATATATATGTATAATGTGTAATTCTGTTTTTATTCAGTAGTCATTTGCTTTTACTCAATTTTTTCCTATATATTCTCTATATTCTAACACAAGTGTAACACAACATCGGCTTGTTTACAACAGCTCAAAACAGAAGTTACATATCAGTGGCTCAGGCACAGAGGTGCAGCTGCGGCTCAGGAGATGGAGCAGGTCATCCACTAATTAGAGAGACAGTGGTTCAATTCTTGCCTCCAATCCATGTGTCTAAGAGTCATTGAGCAGGAGAGTGAAGCCCAAATTGTCCCCATCGATGTGTGTGTGTGTGTGTGTGTGTGTGTGTGTGTGTGTGTGTGTGTGTGTGTGCTGGACAAGCGCTGTACGAGTGTGTGTGTGTCTGTGTGTTTGTGTGTGTGAATGTGACCTGTGGTGTCACATTAACTCTCACACAACTATATAAATGTAGTCCATTTCCAAGTGTGCTTTTAAGCACTGCAGAGCTTATCCTTACCAATATTCTACCTTTCCCTCTCATGTCGCTCTCAATGAGGGGAATTATTTCAGCATGAAACTGCGTTTTCTTTGTGTTCCTGCTTGTGTTACTTCATCTCTAATGGGCAATTACTTCAGAACCGATGCTGAGGCCGTGTTATTGCACCAACCCCCCAATTGATTGGATGCCCATAGTACTCAGCCTCCACAAGCACTTTAAGGTTAGATTCCCCCTGTTTAAACATTGGATTACAAGCCCATGAAAAGAGACTGCAGCGGAAAATAAAAGGTTGAGAATGCTCTTATTGGAGGGGCCTCTCTGAGGAGATGAGAGGCGAACAGATTCCATACGAGTCTCCAGAGAGTAAGCTAGTTATGAGAGATAAAAATGGCAACATCATCTGTTGCTCTCCTTCTGTCTGAATCTATTTTTCTCTTTCTCTATTCTTGCATTCTTGTTGTCAGGTGTGTGTGTGTGTACGTCCTGAGGCTTAAGGTCAACCTACACACCTCACAGGTTTATACAACTTTCTCCTCCAGCTACACGCTAAAAGCTCCCCCCACCAACAGACTGATTTTTTGATTCCTTCCATAACCCTACATTTCCACAGGGTGTCATTTAAGGTCTAAAGGAAGCTACATACGATGAGGTGACTCAGAAATGTTTGTTCTAAGGGTATCTATATTAAACATCTTAAAGAAAATAACTTAGTGGTTTAATTACATTAAAGTTCTTGACACATTGAATGAATGCATTTTTTTCATGCCATAACAGAACAAAGACATTTAATAAAAGATTAGCACGTAAAACACTACCTTTGAATAAATAGGATTAAAGGCACTTAAATTGATCAGCTGGTTTCTTGAGTAATATGTTAAAAGCATAAAGGTAAGTACTGTGTCAGAAGCACACTTTATATTTCTGGCCTCGTCGAATCAGTTCGAACTCGACTGATTTTCTGTTGTGCTCAGCTTGTGTTCCGTTGGAAAGTAAGAATAACGACTCACAGCATGCAAACAGAAGTTTGATTGTTACAAGTCATTAGTTTGGTCATAATGAACTGAAGACTTCTTTTTTTGCGTAAAGGTGCATATTCATGTACGACACCTGAGTTAAAATATGTAAATTAAATGTATCTCCCACTGAAAAAAAAGATAATAATCATAAAAAAACAAGTTATGCAAAATGAAATGACCTGTGAACAATCTAAAACACACTTCTGATGAGATGGCACAAAATATCTGAGAGGAAAACTTTGAGTGAGGCAGCCAACCCTTGCTTTGTCATTTACATTTGAAAGTCATTCCACCCCCGCCAAGGACTTAATGTGTGTGTGTGTGTGTTTGTGTGGTTGCACTTTGCGTAGGGTATAGAGCGATGCAAGGAGGATACAGTAGACACAGTCACACATAGTATGCTTTGTAGATATGTGGCACTCTCATATCTGTTTATTGATCAGAGCAGATGTGCGTCAATCAATCTTATCTGGGCTCCACACACTCTCCCGCTAACCTCCAGAAGCGGGCCAACCAATACTGCTCCACACTCTGAGCCCCGGGCGACCCACATTATCAATCAGACACCTTGAGGAAATTTTCTTTGTATGTGTGTGTGTGTGTGTGTGTGCGCATGCCAGTGTGTGTAAAATTGTGAGTGTGTCAGAATAGCAGGGTGCCGAGCATGAAGGTGCATTAGAGGACGGACAAAAAGAGAAAGTGACAGCCTGAACAGAAAACCCAGATTAACCTCTTCTTTAAATGCCTGTTATTACGTATTCTTCGGAACTTAAGTCTTCCCACACATCACACTGAGGCAGAATCAAACCTCTCACCATCTGTAAACTGTGCCGCTCAGAAGCCTGGCATTCACTGCAGCTTTAGAATCAATGCTAATGCGCCTTTTGAGGATGCAGGAGGTGGATGTGATCAAGGCAGGAATACTGAACATCATGCTCAGCAAAACGCATGAAACGCAGTCGATTCAGCCTTTCCAACGATGTGGAAAATCTGAGATCCAAGCCTAAAATAGAACAAATTCATGTCGCCTGTCTGTAATGAAGTGACTTATTCTATTATAAGCAGTTCATTTCAGAAGAGAGTGATGGATGAAAAGAAAGTTGGGTGCTTGCAACTAGCAGAGGTAACACTCAAGCAACTATTGGAGGCGTATGAATGTGTAAAATTCTACTCATTACTCACCTCGACACACGTTGCCATTGTCAGGTTCGAATCCAGCCTTGCATGTGCAGCTGCCGATAGGAACCATCCACTCTCCGTCCCCGTTGCAGTAGAGCTTTATAGGAACATCTACTTCCTCTGAGTTGGGGATGCAGATTCCTCTTGCTATGACCAGGGAGGTGCTTTCAGCCCCTGTCATTGTCTCTGGGAAGATTGCAAAGTTCTGGACAACACTCGGGCACTTCTTATAAAAGACTCGGACGGATAGCAGGGACATGCACGCGCCGTAGTCCTGAAACGCCAGGTAGAAGCCATTTTTAGACAGTGGACCGAAACTCCGCACCTCCGTGTTGACTTTCATCAGGCGCCCACCAAAGTCCACTTGTGAGAAGCTTTCGTCTGCGGCGATCGTGTCCACCTTGAGATAAGGCGCCTCCATCCAGAAGGCGGTGCCTTTGGTGGCGATGACGGCGTCTGTCTCGTAGTAGTAGAGATTAAATGTCTCCTTGCAGGAGCCGGGGACATTGGGGATGGAGCTGCAGTCGCGGACAGTGAATCGAATTTCCACATAGATGCGCTGAGCTCCACGCCGATCAATGAAGGTGGTGAGGAGCCAGTTGTTTTGACTGGGCTCGAAGACATTACACACCTGGTAGGTCCTGATGGTGTTGAGGTTCTCATCATAGCCACTCACCTCCTCCCACTACAGACAGACAGAGAGAGAGAGGGGGGGAGTGCACACAGTTGATTAGTAATCATCAGTGACAAGGCTGTGGTCGTTTCTCATTTTGTGATAGAGAATGCTAATATTGGCTGAGCGTCAGAGATTTTGTACACATATCAGTAATCTCCCTAAGGCACCAAATGTGAGTCTTCTTCCTGGATTAGCAGAGGGAATCAGCCTGTCAAGCTGCAGGGTTTATTCGTGCATGGAGGATGCACAAACATCCTTTCTCTGAATCATAAATAATGTTTTAAGCACAGCAACAAGACAAACACATCTTTGCTCTCTTGTTCTCGAAATAAACTCAACAGCTGTAGAATGTGTACTACCACTGCAATCTACAAAGTCAGTAATTACTTGGGATGTGCTGCTTTTTGCCACCTATGGGGATGGGCACTGAGCTGATGCTTATAAAATATGGTGTTTAACAAATTCAAGATTCTACACTAATTAATTTCAATCAGACAGATGGTGACCACTTCATGGCAGCTATGAGCTTGCCTGATGGAAACAATGTAAACTGTCTTTTTTCTTTTTCGCTGGTGTGATCCGCACATTTTCTTCGATTGGAGGCCTCGAGAGGTTTTACCTCAGTGCGGCAGATCCTGATGAAAAACTGAGAATCAGGAAGAGGGATGACTGAAATGAAAAGCTGGTCTAGGCGCATGTTTTTGAGATTCCAAATGTTAGGGACAGACAATCTGCTGATATTGTGAGACATTTTCTGCACAGACGCGTTCACAACAGCAACAAATCCTCTGCATTGTTTAGGCGAGAGGTGGAGCAGCTGGGTGCAACAGACAGAGTTTTATGGACTTTATACTACAGGGTCAGATGGTGCATCACACCTGGACATTTGCGTTCACACATTAACCACTTCCAGATGAAAATTCAGAGGATTTGCAGAGTCCAGTGAATGTCTGAAGCAGTGTAGGTATAATTCTAGTCTAACTTTAATTTCGAAGGATGTTGTTGATAAGGGCACACAGCAGCAGAGTGGACACAAAATCATTCAGTCACAACAGTCACATAAAAACCCCACCGAAATAAATCTATTGAATAGAGAGGGTGATTTGAATCTGTTTTTGTTTTTCACACACACACACATAAACACCACAAGTGATCCAAACAGCTTCAGGCAAAGAGAAGCTAATGAGGTCTGTAGTGTTGTGAGTGGGCCTCAAGTCAGTTCATGTTTCTTTTGTGCAAATATCTCCTGGTGCTTCCTCCTTCCGCTGACCTTTAATGCCCCGGGTGCTCAATCAGGCCTAATGGAGAGGAGAAGACACCACCTCTCCACACACAGGCCCCAACAACCGGTCAAGAGATGGTCAAAAGATTCCGAATCCTTATCAGATGCATGGGTCCATGAAATGATTTGAGATGAGATTTGAAGGTTTGGGGGTCAAAGATGCACATAAACGGTGCACATGATGAAATGATCTGGCCCAGGGAGTACACCTGGAGAAAAAACACAGGAGGGTTTGTTTCGGCCAGGAGCGAGGAGGAGGAGGTGGAGGGAGAAGACACGTGGAGAACAGTGACACTACTGACATGATAAACGAGTTTACAGAAATCTGAGGTGCAAATTAAAGCCTTTTTTCACCGCTGCTCCCTCGGTGCCCACTCTGCTCTGCTCCTCTCCCCCTCTCCTCTCTATCCCTCCCGCTCTCCTCTCCCGTCTCTGCTCTGTAATGACCATTCATCAGCATTACAGGAACCTGTCCCTTTCAGCACTGCCTGTTCATTAATACAGCCAGCCCTAGGCTCCTCTGCACCCGTCTGCTCCAGTCTAGGAGGGGGTCCTCTCCGCCCCTCGTCTAGCCAAATGACCACCATCTTTCAAGCCGGAGAGAGGCCCGAGGCGTCTCCGATAATGCCCATCTAAAATCTGTCCAGAAATTCATTGGCTCATACAATAATGAAGTGTGGTTTTTTTTTTTAATTATTTTCTCCTCTGTAGATTTTCTGTGTCACCATTGTGTCAAAAATGAAGAAAACTATTTCAGGTGCATCAGTTACTTAGCAGAAATCACATTTTGAGACACGATGTCCTTTTATCCTTTCACTAGCTTTGTAATCATCTGCAGTTGATGTCTGCGTGGTTGTGTGTGTGTGCACTCCGATAACATGTTGTTTATAATTTGATGGTTTACCGACCGCATATTGATTTGCTGGCTGTTGTTTCACTGCAGAAGACCTCGAGGCTATGTGACACATTTCTGCTTCTGTGGGACCAAAACATTTTATTACACTGTTCCTCAGCATCTTTATCATTAGCCCTGCAGTACACATGATGCATGCATGTTAGCAGTACAGGTTCTTCAGTCAGCACTCAGTCTAGGCTTCCTATTCCTTTTCCTTTGCTCTCTTACAGACCTTTTAGAACATTTAAATCAAATCCATCCCCTGCACTCTGACATCTCTCTGACCTCGCCAGAGTGGAGAGAAAAGGGAAGGCATCATCACCTGTCACCTCACTGATAATGGAATTCCCTAGTCCTTGCATCCATTTTCTTTTCAAGGATTTGTGTATAAAGCAACACTGTTAGTCCTGCGCTGTTTATATTTAGTCCATGTATTATGGACCAGAGCGCATATATGCATTCCTGGCATGTATCATTCATATGAGCTGAAGGTGAACAAGGTGCGGGGGAGGGCGAGTGTGATTATCTTATGTTCCTAAGTGCTTTTTCCTCTTTTGTACTATGTGTCACCACATGTGTTTCCTGCTATAGATCTCACATACGTTCAAAAGATAAGATAATGCAGTTTATGTGGCAGTCAGTTAACAAAACACAGCAGCAATTTAAGGACTTTTCAGTCATCATCACCTTGGCTGCGTCTACCTATAAATGTATTAGTTTGTAGATGGGTGAGTTTCCAACAGTCTGACCTATCCAAAAATAAATTTCAAACTGCAAACTACCCAGACTATGGGTCTGTTTAATGCAGACCAAGACCAGCACAAAAGGTTTGTTCGTTGATCCAGATCATGATCCGAGGAACGGTTCACACCTGTTATTTTGGTTCGGACTAAACTAAAAAGTCTGCAGATTACGACCAAGCAAAGTAGTTGTGAAAACCCCACTGCACACATTCTTGCATCATTATTTATATTTTATTCATACAAATATCACTGAACACAAACATTCTTGTTGATGAGATACTAGACAAATATTTAGTGCCCCTTTACACAACACTTATTTTAATTCAGCCCCATGTACCTGTTGACTCCACTCTAAAAGCTTTGCTTTACCAATAATATAGGAGCCACTCTTCCCCTTCCCCTGATTATCAAGTGTGGCCATTGCGTGTGTCATTATGGCGGCTCTGTTTTATGGGAAGTAGCGAGGAGATGGAAAAGCTATGGATTCACAGCGCGCTTAATGTTTGTGTTAATGACCAGTCGCAGCTAACTGAGCTCGAAAAGAGAGGGTAGAGGAAACGAAAGAGACAGTTTGAAGGATGAAAGAAAAAAAACAGGAGAGGAATCAAGGAGACGGGGAGGCGGTAATAAATTCAGGCTGATGCACCCTTTCCCACATCCTCAGTTCACGGCCATCAGCCATCAATACAGTGCCCTCATAAAGGCCATTCATCACATTGATCTCCTGCCATTACCTTCAAAGGCTAAAATAACACAGAGCAGCTCAGATGGTCAGAGCCTCGCTCTGGAGGACGACAGTGTCTAACAGCGGAGCCAAGAGCAAGCCAGTCAGGGAGCTAAGGGGACTAACCTATCAGAAGATGGATGTATCACCTGTGGACATTAACAGGAGAAATGGACTGGACTAATGAGTCATTTGGAGCAGGTGTGGTGGGAACCGGACAAGAGCCACCATATGCACACTGCAGGTTTCCAGTCAGGCTTGATGCTGACATGACAAAACCAATGGAGAATAGGTCTGGTATCAAAATAGTACGAAAGGTCATATCGACTGTTGTCCACCAGAGGAACCCTCTTTTTTCAGGAAAGTTTTAAGAGGTCATGGGGTTTATAACTGTAGACTTACTTGTTTTGCCCCTGGGGTTTGTACATTCCAATGGCCGAGCACCTATCTCTTCTATCAGACTATGGTCAAACATGAGCCTCAAAACTGCTGCAAATTGTCCACAGCAGTAATGCACATAAAAATCCGCAGAGGCTGTCAGTTGAATTGATATTAGAAATAGAAATGAGAATTCCTTGAAATGCTTATCATCATTTAAACAAGGTTATTCAGTAGAATGTAGAGCTTTTGTAATGAGGAGTAAGATAGTGTACAAATGGTCCTCAAGAGAGCCAGTATGACAGGATTCGATTTGTTTTTTTTTTTCTGTTCCAAAGACCATATATATATATATATATATATATATATATATATATATATACAGTATATATATACATACTCTGTGTTGTCCAGAAAAGCTGTTGTGTCCTTATGGGCTCTGTGAGATGTAATTACTTGATTTTTTTTTTTTAGAAATACATAAAGACGTGTCTCGACTACTTTTGGCTCATCATTTAACCTTGGCCTGTTCACACAAGAAGGATACTTGAATAGAGAAGGATTTTTTGGGGTCCAATATCTGCTGACTAAACCTCGGTGGAGTCGATGCCATGGTCAAATCCATCAGCCCTACTTAATACAGCTACAGTACATGCTCAGACATACTGAGCACAGACGCATGACGAGCAACTCGGAGCATTTCAACATCTAAAGCTCCTCATCTTAGAAAGGTCTCAAGAAATAACATTGGAAATAACAAATGAGCACCTGATAAGTGTTTCCTGAAAAGCCGTCAAAACTCCAACTGCTCAATCTGACATTGAGTTTTTACAGTGGGACCAAAGAGAAGAGATGTATTTAATAATAACAGGAATGGCCAAACTGTACTGCTCCACTGTCAGTGTTCCCCTTAAGTTTGCTCCTTTTTGTTCTTGAGCCCGTTTCATTGAAACACTCGACTTTGACTTTACCCTGTAACAAAGAACA